TTTGATGTTAGTGACAACAAGGGCTGGGTGAAACTCTTGTCTTTTGGAAGAAGAGGATGACTTGGAGGGGTTGTCGACCTTGGTAGAAACATGTTCGAATTAATTACCAGAAGAAAAAGACACGGTGTTGGAGGCGCGGCAGTTGGTGAATATGGCAGAGGGTGGCGCAGAGGAAGCGGCGACTGTGTTGGAGGAGGCACTACAGCGGTAGTGATAATTCTTGAGGAAGAAATTATGTGACGGCAGTGGTGTTATAGGAGGAGCTATAACGACAATGGTACTGTAGAATGAGCTACGACGGTAGCGACAATGTTGAAAGAGGAGCAACAATGGTAACGACGGTGCTAGAGGACGAGCTACAATGGTGGCAGTGCTTGAGGAGGAGCAACGACAGCGTTGACGATGCTGGAGGAGGAGCTACGACAGCAGAGGCAGAAGCTTTTGAAGATAAGCGGTGGCGACAACAACACAAGGAAAAGAGCTTATGCGGCGGTGTCAACGATTTTAATTAGGCTTTGATCTTTACCTCAACTGATATCATGTAAGATGTTGATAGATATTGAAATCAATCGTATGAGAATAAAACTACGAAGATTATTATATATATATATATATATATATATATATATATATATATATATATATATATATATATATATATATATATATATATATATATATATATATATATATATATATATATATATATATATATATATATATATATATATATATATATATATATATATATATATATATATATATATATATATATATATATATATATATATATATATATATATATATATATATATATATATGTTATAGTCGATGTAAGACTTATATACAAACCACATCAGTTTTTATTTATTTGGTTTGGTTTTAGATTTGAAAAAAAAAATCAGTTTTGGTTTGATTTAGATTTTCAATTTAATTGATTTTCTATGATCAGCTTCACCCTTACTTAAGAGAACAGTTGTGCTAGGGACTATAACTGTATCATTTTATAATATGTATGTTGATGCATTTGATAGACAAATTATATGATAAATAAGTTAGTGATATCAAATTAGTTACAAATTTTCTCAAAACAAATATTAAGTTTAAGTTTTCTAATATTTAACACTCATCAAGACTAATATAAAATAATATAAGTTTCATTTACAGTGAGATGCATGTTCTATATTAGTAAGATATAATTAGATAAATATAATATTCAATTGTTAAAACATTGAGAATTGTTGAGCAGAATCTAAAATCAAAAGGGAAGACTATTCACATAGTCAATAATGGGAAAAAAAAAAAGAAAAACAGGCCCAACAAATTGGATAATAAAAGGAAAGATAATGAAGTTGTCAACCCAAACCTACTACTCATGCTTTGAAGTTTAGTGGAGATGTAGCTAAGAAATACATTTATTTCTACTACGGTAAGATCAGATATTAAAAGAGAAACTATCAAAAATACCTGAAAGATAAAAAGAATGGAGTAAATATTTCAAATTCATATATTTTTATTATAGAAATAAATTATCTACTTCTATATCATAAGTATTAGATATTAGACGTGATTCTCACATATATTAATTTAGGGATTAAAAAGGAATAGAGAATTAACATAAAATTTAAAATAAAATAAAAAACCAATTTAGTTTTGATATGGAAAGAGTGCTGGTCTACACTCTAGAGTCTAGAGTGAGTGTCCACCTAAAGCCAACCATTTCCAGACAGACATTTACCTCACTTCATCATCCGACCAAAAAATCGTGGGCCCTCACTTCACTCACAACCATTCCCCACGCGCCACTGTCTCACACGCGCCACTGTTTCTCATTCGTCGGTTGTGGTAGGATGTTGAGTAAAACACTGAGACACTGTCACATAACTCATCAATTTACTACTGCGGATTTTTTACTACAACATCATCAAATTACAACAATTATTCATCTCTCACTTTAGTAACTTGAGACATTTTCTGACAAAGCACCATCACTTTATGGAGTAATTTTCTTCTCTCTTTCAATCTCTTTCTTTTTTGGAAATTACCCACTATCTCTTTCGTATCATGTCATGTCATCATAATTACTGTATTTTTGTTTTTCTTTACATCAATTTAACTATTCTAAATATACTTACTTTCAAATTATTTATAGTTAATTTAATAAGAATATATTGTGTCATGCAAAAAATTTAAATGAAATTTATTTTAAAATAGAGGCTATAGTATGAGGAATGAGAGTCTATGATTATTACGTACTTACTATTTTAATTCACACATTAATATATTGTCACTCTCACAACAATTTCCTCTCATAACAATTTTGATAGTATGAAGAAGATACACCTTTATGGTAGTTTAAAAGTCAAATAAGATTGTAACCATGACAAAGTGTGACATTAGCCGAGGAAGAAGAAGAGAGAAATTAAAATGAAAAGGGTGGAAATAGTAATAATCTCATCAAACATGTTGAATCTCAATTCACAAAAAGTGGAAATGGTGATAATCTCGTTAGAGACATTGAATCACATACTTATTACATTAAAAGTAATTTTAATAACTCTTTCCATTCTTTATTATAAAAAATTTGATTTTTTAATTTATTGAATAATTATTTTATTAGTCTAATTAAATTATTTATTTAAAAAATTAATATTTACTTATAATAAAGAACGGAAAAAGTACATATGTTAAATTCCCAAACTTAAAAAGAAGAAAATGAGAAGTCAAAAAAATTCATGAAAATTAAAAAAATTAAAAATATATAGAGACGAAAACATTGTAGGAAGATGTGGTGGATTGAAATTTTTATAAGTTAAGTGTCAGGACATTCACTTAGTAAATTGTAAATCTTCTAGATTAGTCCAACATTTAGAATGAATTAAGTCTGACCTCCTCCTTCGACACGACTCGTGCGACTACGACTCAGACTCTCCTGCCCTTTATCGAGAGCCATTGATCGTTTGCCCTCCTAGATCAGTATGATCTATGATAATCGACGAGCGCCTCTCAATCTGTCTGATTTCAAGTCGACCAGACAATCAGGAACTAACCAGACCGCTATCGGTAACCTACCACCTCCTCGGAACTAAACGCTAGTTGTGGGCACACCTGCCCGATTTGACCAAGTCCTGATAGTCACCTATTTTTACGGACCCGCATATATAGGCTTAAAATAGGGACCAATGACCAAGCGCCAGGGTCACTATATAAACCCTTACTCATGTGAGAGCCAGTGATTAAATATTGACTATTCATCACTAAAACCCTAATACTTCGCTTGTATCTCTTTTTGCTCTCACACTTACTTGATCCTTAAAGTGCCTTGCATGTACAATCCCCCTTTTTCCTCCTCGACTTTCCAACCCGTCTGAAGATCACCATCCAGCCACCTCTCAGGTTCTGATCAATCGATAAGATCAGTAAACATATTTAGACTTTAAGTGATATATATATATATGTGTGTGTGTGTGTGTGTGTGTGTGTGTGTGTGTGTGTGTGAAAGATGAGAGTGAGATGAAAAGGAGAAAATATGTGAGAGAGATATGAAAAGAAGACAATATGAGAGAGTGGGAGAGAATATGTATGCGAGGGAGATGAAAAGGAGACAATATGACAGAGAAAGATGTGAAAAGGAGTCAAGATGAGAGAGTGATAGAGAGATGAAAAGGATACAAGATGAGCGAGAGAGTAAGTGTGTGAAAGAGAGAGATATTAGACAGAGAAGATGTAAATGGGGAAAATGGAGAAGAAATAATATGGAGAGAGAGAGAGAGAGAAGAAGAAAGGTATCAGAGAGTATGAAGATTAAGATAATCATGAGTGACAGGGAGAGAGAGTAAATAAAGGTTACATAGAGAGAATATGAGAGAGATTATATCAAAAAGTTATAAAAAGGGGGAAAGAGGAGAGAAAAGATAATATGAATAACGATAGAGGGAGAAATGAAGAGAGGCATGGAAGAGTATAGAGAGAGAGATGAAAAGAGGCACGAGAGAGAAGAAATAAATGCGAGAGAGGTAGTAGGGAGAGGAACGACTGGAATTTTTTTTAACAATATATAGAGAGGATATCTTTGAGGTAGAAAAATAGCATTTTAATATTTTGATAATTTTTAAGTGCAACAAAAAAATGTCTTTGTCTAGTGTTTAACTAATATTTCTATTAAACTAGGCCAAATCTAGTAAAAAAATTATTGGAGACAATCCAATCCCAATTTATACATTTGTGTCTTATTTTATAAAATAAGTTTCTCTTTATTAACTTTAATCATATTTTATTTTTATCAATTTGAAATTTGAATTTTACAATTTATTTTATACAACAATCAACGAGTAAGTCTTAACTCACTCTATTAAGAAGAATTGTCTACATGAATAAACTTTCATCATGACGTTCTATCAAACATCATACTTTTATCTAAACCATTAATCTTGAGATCTTTTTTAATATAACTTCTTTGATAGTCTTTCTAGGTCTTCTCCTCAACTAATTGTTTATCTTCTCTCTATCTGGTATATCTTTCTTACTATATAATATATTAATCTTCTCTCTAAATGCGCAAACCAATTCAAATCTATTTTTCACCATCTTCTCTACTATACACGTTATCCAACACTCTCTAATATTCTAATTTTTAATTTTATTATGTCAAATCTTATCACACATTCACCGTAATATCTTCATTTCTATTACATTTACTTTATCTTTGTGTTGACAATTAAAAATAAAATTCATCTTTTGAGTACTCATTCTCAAAATGTTAATTAATGTTACATTTTAAAGCTAAATTTGAACCAACTAAGTTGAAAGAGAATGAAACAATTACATATAAATGCTTTTAAGTAAATAGTGTACTATTTAATGACACTAGAGTACATGGTAAATAAATCATCAAAAAAAATGAAAAGAAAATGTTTGGTTTGGCTGGCTAAGGAATAGGATTGGTTTGATTAGTTTAATAGCCTTTAGAGAGTGTCTACTAACCGTGTGACTTGTGAGACACAAAAACTTGTTCCTTTCTTCTTTTTCTCTCAGATCTCACACAACCAAAGGATAACAAAAAACAACAACAAAAAGTTCAAATCTTTTCCATCATCAACCTTGTTCATGAACTCAAAAACAAGGTATGATTCATAGTCTCTATTTGGACTCATCAATTTGAAGAAAAAACACTCATTCTCTGTATTTTTCAGGACAAGAAAACAAGTTAGAAAAACAAAACTTTCAATCAAATTATTCTATCTGGGTGTTTGAAGTTTCTATCTTTCTTTTGTGGGGTTTCAAGATTCAAGTTTGTGGTACCCAAAGAAGCAAGAACTCAATTTTTTGCCGAAGATTTTTCACTTAACTTTAAGGTACAAAAAAAGTGAAAAACAGAGTACTCTGTTTTGTACTCTGTTTTTCTTTGAACTCAAAAGAGATTTTTCATACAATAAGTGGCTTTTTGTTTCTAATTATGCTTCAACCCATTTTAGATCTTGTTTGTTGTTATCACAATTTTCATTCACTCAAAGTTTGTGCAACTGTTTGATCACTTTTTTTCTCCCTCTCTCTTCTTCTCTTTCTCTCTCTTCAAGAACAGAGTAAGCAAAATTTGAAACCGATGAAGGAAGGTGAAAAAAGCTTAGATCCACAACTATGGCACGCGTGTGCTGGAGGAATGGTTCAAATGCCATCAGTGAACACTAAAGTTTTCTACTTTCCACAAGGGCATGCAGAACATGCTCAATCCAACGTTGATTTTGGAGATTCTTTCAGAATTCCACCGTTGATGCTATGTCGTGTAGCTTCTGTGAAATTCTTAGCTGACCCAGAAACAGATGAAGTGTTTTCTAAGATAACTTTGATTCCTTTGAGGAATTCAGAGGTTGAAAGCGAAGATTGTGATGGTTTTAATGGTGATGGTTCTGAGAGTTCTGAAAAGCCTGCATCTTTTGCTAAGACTTTGACTCAATCTGATGCAAACAATGGTGGAGGGTTTTCGGTTCCGAGATACTGCGCTGAGACGATTTTTCCTCGGCTCGATTACTCGGCTGAGCCACCGGTTCAGACGGTGATTGCGAAGGATGTTCATGGTGAGGTTTGGAAGTTTAGACATATCTATAGAGGGACACCAAGGAGGCATTTGTTGACAACTGGTTGGAGTAGTTTTGTGAATCAGAAGAAGCTTGTTGCAGGTGATTCTATTGTGTTTCTGAGAGGTGAAAATGGTGAACTTTATGTTGGGATTCGTCGCGCAAAGAGAGGTATAGTGAATGGATTGGAAACACCTTCTGGGTGGAGTTCTGGTCTTGGAGTTGGACCTTATGGTGGTGCTTTTTCGGTTTTTTTGAGGGAGGAGAATAACAAGGTGTTGAGAAATGGGATTGGTGATGGGGGTGTTGGTGGTAATTTGGGAGGTGGGAGAGTGAAAGTGAGCGGTGAATCGGTGAAAGAAGCGATGAGACTTGCTGCTAGTAACCAAACATTCGAGGTTGTTTATTATCCGAGAGCGAGTACACCTGAGTTTTGTGTTAAGGTTTCATCTGTTAAAGCTGCTATGAGAATTCAATGGTGTTCTGGTATGAGGTTTAAGATGCCATTTGAAACCGAGGATTCTTCGAGGATTAGTTGGTTTATGGGAACAATTTCGTCTGTTCATGTTGTTGATCCGATTCGTTGGCCTAATTCGCCTTGGAGACTTCTTCAGGTACTACTACTACTACTACTACTACTAACCAATCTCTTTGTTCTAGTGTTTGAAATGCTTAATCTTTGCGTACCGTAGTTGATTAGCTTAGACGATTTGATTGTATTCGTCACGTAATTGAGCTGAATTCGATATAGTTACACGAAAACCTGATTGAACTTTTGGCAATAACATAATTGTAGGTAACTTGGGACGAACCGGATTTGCTACACAATGTGAAGCGAGTAAGTCCGTGGTTGGTTGAATTAGTATCAAGCATGTCAGTGATTCATCTCTCGCCCTTTTCGCCACCGAGAAAGAAACTTCGTTTTCCACAACATCCCGATTTCCCTCTCGATGTTGTTCAGTTTCCAATACCGACGTTTACAGGCAACCCTCTTAATCCGTTGTGTTGTCTATCGTCTTCTTCCGATCAATATAACGCTCCTGCCGCAGGCATTCAGGGAGCCAGGCATGCTCAAATTGGAATATCTTTATCAGATCTTCGCGTTAACAACATCAACAATAATAGAATTCAGTTAGGTGTGTTTCCGAATAACCCTAAGACGATTTCTAATGATAAGAGCAAAGAAAGTTTATCATGTTTGTTGACCATAGGAAACTCTCATAAGAGAAGTTTGGAGATAAATTCTGATAATAATGTTAAGAGACACCAATTTTTGCTTTTCGGTCAACCGATTCTCACCGAGCAACAAATCTCTAGAAAAGCTTCTAGTGATAAAGACAAAGAGAAATGGTTTTTAAGTGATACTTCTCAATCTTCAATTTCCGAACAGTTTTCACCGGGAAAATCTTCTACTACTACGACTAGTACTACCGAGTTTTGTTGGCAACAACTTGGATTAGATACCGGTCATTGTAAGGTTTTCTTGGAGTCAGAAGATGTTGGAAGAACCTTAGATTTGTCATGTGTTGGTTCTTATGAAGAACTATACAGAAAACTCGCTAAGATGTTCGGTATAGAAAGATCTGAGATGTTGAGTCGTGTACTCTATCGTGACGCAACAGGTATTGTTAAGCAAACCGGTGAAGAACCCTTCAGGTACGTATAACTTTAAAAGTAGTTACGATTAAAATCAAATAGCTTTTTTCGATTGCTTGTCGATTAAGGAATCTTACACAGAAAATGTGTATAAATCTTTGTAGTGACTTCATGAAAACAGCAAAAAGATTAACAATTCTGATGGATTCAGCTAACAAGGATACTAGAAGGTGTGATTTTCAATTATTTTTGTTGTTTATAGTTTCTTAGTTGAGTATGAAGACAATGAACATTTTTTTTTGGAAAATTTTGCAGGGTTTGTATCACAGGAGCTAGGAATGGTGAATGTGGATTAGATGCATCAAATAAGACTGGACCTATGAGCATATTTGCTTGATATTATTATGTTGCAATTCATCTGAGATATTATTATTGTTATAAGATTTCATGAAGTTGAATGTTAAAGAGACCTTAGTAGTACTATTTTTTGTTTAATCATGTATTTTCATGCACGATTAGTACTCTATTATAATGTTAACCGACATTTGGTTTCCATTAATGACTAGTTTTAAATTGAAACTATTAATCAAGTTTTGTGTAACCATGTGTATATGTTAATCTTGGTTCATTGAATTGCTATCACATTAACTACAATGTTCAAAATAGTAGAATATTTGGTCTCAAAAATATATAAATATGCAATAAAATAAATCATCTTTACGTAGTAATGGTGTTGCGGTGGAGTAAGTTTCCATTGTGCGAAGAGGGTCTGATCCGTAAGATTAACACTCCGTTGAATGAATTCATCTAATGACGAAACATGATCAATGGTGTGGTTCGATCTAGAACACAAATTAAACTTTTTTGTGTTTTCAAGGTTCCTTGTTGAAAATTTCAATTTCTATGGACCTATATTTTCCCCTTATTTCCCCCTTCTCAAAGATAAGATTCATTGAATGAAGATATAAACAATGTGATTTACTAAAAATGTTCAAAAAACTATTAATGGGATCCATATTCAAATTGTGATGTTTAAGAATTTTGGTTAATAAAATTGGCTCTTAGTTTTAGGTTAAGACTAGCTTTCTTTTCTAGCTTAATTAATTTTTAAGTGATTAATTTGAGGCATTGCTACATTTCATAGTTCCCTATTTATAGTTACTATATTTATTACATTACATTGTGTTTATTTTATAGCTTTACCATTTCAAGATAATGACATACTAGTAGTATACATTTGATAAATAAAGGCACATAGTAAAAGGGTAAAAGGAGTATTTTGTCTCTTGTGAAAATATAGTAAATAGTGTGTCACGTAATTTATTTTTTGGTATTTGAAATTTTGTGTTCCATCAAAATAAACCAGACATTGTACTCTTTGACTAATGACTCTTAAATAATTTCACATTCAAACCAAAGCAAGAAAATGAAAGCATCTTTTTTGTTTTCAAAGTTGTTATGTAATTATATACTTGGAGTAGTTAGTATATGTAGGTCCTCTTCATAGGTGCCCCACAGTGTTATATCACCATCTCAAAGCAAATAATGATAAAAAGGAACAATGCTACAAAATTAAATAATAATACAAATAATAATATTTATGTATAAAATAGGGTTGGTTTAATCAACTAGACATTATCAAACATAATAGTAGTCCTGGCTCAATCATAGATTCACTTTAGGGATATCAATTTGTCTCATTAATGAGAATTTCTATGGAGTTGGAGGAATTTTTCTATCATAGAGACAGGAAATAAAGTCTTTTCGAAGATACTTTGATAACGAAAGTGATGTAAATATCTTTTATTCCGTCGAATTTCTGTCTCGCTTAGAATACTATAATAAACACAATTTATATATAATTTTAAATATTTATGTAGGTTTATTTGTTATCTCATATAATTTATCTTATAAATAAATTTAAAATATAAATGTATTGTTAGCAAAAGAATGAGATATAAATAATTATTTTAAACTTTTTAAGTTTGAAATTTTAATGGTTGTGACACTCAATATTATAAATTAAATATTATTAAAATAAAATATTTATCATAAATGAATAATTTCTAAATTTTGTTGTGGTTAGTTTTTAAAATTTTTACTATTAATTTAGTTTAAAATAATATAAAAAAAAAATCATATTTATGGATTTCAGTATGAACTTTGGGGATCCGTGGGAATTCGCGGGGACGAGGATGTGGAACAAAATCCCTCTGTAACGAAGACCCAAGACACAGACGAGGAATAGATTTGAGGGCAAAAATTGAGATGAAAATATATCCTCCGCCCCCGCCCACTCCATTGACATTGCTAATTCAGAGTTAATTTAATGAGAAAATATTCCAATTCTCAAATAAATTATATTCTAATCACTATTATAAATATTTATTTTTAAATTAATCTAATAATTAATATATTTAATTTTTACATAAATCAGTTCAATAAATTTAAAAAATTAACGTTTGCTTATAATAGTAATTTGAAAGTATATTAGATAATGTCATTCAACATAAAATGTCATTCCAAGGCAAAAGTTATTTGTTTAAAGTAAATTGGTTGGTTATTTTGTTACTTGACGCCAATTGGTTGGTTGTCATCATTCTCTATTCTAGTCATTAAAGTTCTCAACAAAATTATTATTATATTTTATTTTCAACAATAAGATTTTGGTTTAGAAGTGTTTGGACCTTTCAATTCAATAATAAATGACTCTCGCGGCAGGGAAAATGAGTTAAGTTTACAAGTGTGCACTATAGATTCTAAATGAGATATTGAGAATTTTTTCGAAGACAATAATATTGGGTTGTGGAAAGTGAAGATGAAATCAATTTTAACTCAACAAAAGTGTGTAGAAGCATTGAAAAGTGAGATCTTGATGCCTACTCTCCTAACATAAGAAGAGAAGACTAAGATGGTGGATAAGGCCAGGATTACAATTATCTTTTGCCTCAGTTATAAATTTTTAAAGGAAGTCGACACGGAGAAGAATGCAAATACGATGTGAGGAAAGCTTGAATCATTGTATATGATCAACTATTTGGTGTGAATGCAAGTTGCATCTAGATGTGTTTTGCATGAACTATAAGAATATAACATTTTTATATATTGGGCGATATCTCTGAGATCTTAGGAATCATTTGAAACATAGGCTGCATGTATTTCAGGCCGACTCATGAAGCCTTTCAGGTCGGCTCGTGTACTGTCCTAAATAAGCAGTTTTCTTCTATTTTGGTCAGGCCGACTCATGTACTGTCCTAAATAAGTAATTTTCTTCTATTTTGGTCAGTCCGATTCATAAGTCATTTCAGGCCGGCTCATGCTGTTAAAATTAACACTACGAGCCAGCACATGCAAATTACAGACCGACTCATACTGTTTCATAGGTTAAATTTTCTATTTTATTTTAATTCCAAATTTCCCTATTTTTCCACAAAACTTTCATAACTATAAATACATCATTCATGTATCGTTCCAACTTGATGATGCCATAAAAATTTCCTGCAATTGCTCTTCACCTTCAACCTCCAACCTATGCACACATACTAATAAATCATCGTAATAATCTTTTGTTGGGGTGCCATCTAGACGATGTTCGATAACATCCAATTAGGTTCTTGTGTAGCCGAGAATATTGGGTTGAGATTTGCAGATGATCCCATGGGTAACGATACTGCTATGGCCTTTTGTGACTCTGAGAATCTAATCTACCAAGCCGAAAACAAAGGTGAGGAAGATTGTGAAGTACCAGGGGAACTTGCCAGACTACTACAACAAGAAGAGAGAACCATTCAGCCTCACGAGGAACCCGTGGATACAATCAACCTAGGTACCGAAGAAGACAAAAAAAGAGGTCAAGGTGGGTGCCAATCTGGAACCCAACATCAAGGAGCGTCTGATTCAGTTATTACACGATTATGTTGAAGTCTTTGCCTGGTCATATGAAGACATGCCAGGGCTTAATGCAGATATTGTGGTACATCGTTTGCCTACAAGAGAAGATTCCCCGCCAGTAAAGCAAAAGGTTCGCCATGTGAGACATGATATGTTAGAAAAGATTAAAGCAGAGGTGATAAATCAATTCAACGCTGGATTCTTGGCTGTCACCTCTTACCCTCAATAGGTTGCCAACATTGTTCCCGTACCCAAAAAAGACGGCAAAGTGCGAATGTGTGTGGACTACAGAGATTTGAATAGGGCGAGCCCTAAGGATGATTTTCCACTCCCCCATATTAATATCCTAGTTGACAATACGGTACAACACAAATTGTTTTCCTTCATGGACGGATTCTCAGGTTACAACCAAATCAAACTGGCGCATGAGGACATGGAGAAAACAATATTTGTCACACAATGGGGTACATTCTGCTACAAGGTAATGCCATTCAGACTAAAGAACGTTGGGGAAACCTATCAGCGTGCCATGGTAGCTCTATTTCACGACATGATACATCACGAAATAGAAGTTTACGTGGACGATATGATAGCCAGATCTCAAATAGAAGAAGAGCATCTTGACCATTTACAAAAACTGTTTGAGAGACTAAAGAATTACAAGCTGAGGTTGAATCCAAACAAATGCACATTTGGGGTACGGTCTGGTAAGCTCCTAGGCTTTATCGTTAGCAACAAAGGTATTGAGTAGATCCTGCCAAGGTAAAAGCAATACAAGAGATGCCTGCTCCTCGTACTGAGAAGGAAGTCAGAGGTTTCTTGGGACGTTTGAACTATATTGCCAGATACATTTCTCACCTGACATCTACTTGTGAGCCAATCTTCAAACTATTGAAGAAAGATCAAGTAGTCAAATGGAATGATGAATGCCAAGTTGCTTTTGACAAAATCAAAGAATACTTACAAGAGCCTCCTGTGTTGATGCCACCAGTCGAGGGAAGACCGTTAATCATGTATCTGAGTGTTTTAGAAAACTCAATAAGGTGTATATTGGGGCAACATGACGAGTCTGGCCGAAAAGAGCACGCTATTTACTACCTGAGTAAAAAGTTTACCGACAGTGAAACCAGATATTCACTGCTTGAGAAAACTTGCTGCGCTCTGGCATGGGCTGCTCGCCGGCTAAGACAGTATATGTTGACTCATACTACATTGTTGGTATCTAAAATGGATCCGATAAAATACATCTTCGAGAAGCCTGCTCTTTCTGGGAGAATAGCGAGATGGAAGATGATCCTGACAGAATATGACATACAATATACTATCCAGAAAGCTATAAAGGGCTGTGTATTGGCTGATCACCTCGCTCACCAAGCTGTAGAAGACTACCAATCCATGAAATTCGAATTCCCAGATGAAGACATCATGACATTAGACAACTGTGAAGAATTCGGGCCATATGACGGACCTGAACAAGGATCCCGATGGACCTTGTTCTTTGATGGA